CACACACGGACACACAGACACACACACACAGACAACCTCTCGTCAATATGCGTTTTTCGCATTGCAATGCAATGCGAAATGCGCATAAAAACGCACGATCGCACGGGCCCGTTTGATGCGTGTCGCCAATGATTTAGTCTGAAATGTGACACTGTCCCTGCAGTTGCTTTCGAACCAGATACGAGTTTTGCTGAGATCGATGCATTTGCTTGCAGCGTTTGAGAAACAAACGTCAGTGAGAGAGACCAAATTACTGATACCGAAGTGCGGTAGACTGGTGGAAGACTGTTGAAGTGAGCTACGTACAAGAGCTAGATGGCTCAACTCGGCGTAGTAAACTTATTTATAACAGCATGAAAGTTGGTAATATTCAAGTACATGTGTCAACCATAGGAATCTTTGTTTGAACCCAGTGTTACATGGAAGAGTCCTAGCATGAAATAATATGCTGTGCAACATTTATAAACATGCAGTAGAAAGAGAACTTGCTAGCTGCAGTGATAAGTCTGTATCCATATGAATGTTTATGCAGCCTACAGGAAAAGCAAAAAATGGGAAATCATCACTCCCAATTACTGAGGGTTCTACTAGCTCATCGACAAGCTGTGGCATGGACAGTACAACCGAAGTATAGAAACTGCTGACTAGCATCTGATCGATGGCACAAATCCGGACACACTGAACTGTAGGGTTGCAATAATGTGGATACTGGATTCGCCGTTCCATCCCTACGAGTGCCTGCTTAGAAATACTGACTCCTGAAAGACTGCCAGAACTGCGCCTCGACTTATATCTGCCAATATATAACCACTCAATTTCGTTCCCTTCTTAATTGCACCTCTCTTCAAATCTCATTCTAGCTACCTTCATAGTTCCTTGGCAAACAGATTATAAGGATTCGGCGCTTCCTTGTGCGTACAAAAATTCGCTGCTCTATTGCCCTTTCTCTTCATAATTTCACACACCACTTTTCCGGATCTTCTCACGTGCTGCTATTCTCCTCTTCGCCTGCGACTACATTCCTTAATCCACGATTTTTGGCTAATTTCAAACTACTTTTCGGAAATTATGCACATTATCCATGGGGTGTCACATTTTATCGCATCAAACATGCAAAGTACACTGAGCAATAACAAGCCTGCAAGTAAAAAAAAAAAAAAAAAATGAAGGAATAAAGTTGTAAAACAAAACGACAAAGACAAGCAATAAAATGGAAAAAGAGAGCAGCCATTATCCGATGCACTGAGCATAAACGTGTGCAAGCGAACTGCCCTCCTCTGGCACTCAGACTTCATAAAAAATACCTCCGCAACACAAATTTTATATAAACTGCTGCGCCGTTCCCAGTCCCAGTTTACAAATAGAAAAATTTTATACTACTTCAAAGCCAAGCAACTCTTCAGCCTAACACGAGACCACCCAACGAAAATGCACTGATGAGTGAGAATCCTCGAAGTGTATTCAGTGCGAAAGAAAAAAAAAAAACTCCGGATAATCGGCAACTTCTTGAAACCAAAAAATTTCACAAAGCATTGCAAAATGACGGATACAAGTTGACAAGGCGGAAAATGTAACAATTACAAATCAACAAGGTGTGTAATCATTCAACAATGATATGAACTACGCAAAGTGAACTAAAAACAAAGGAAATTGGGGAAGCAAGTTGAACAAAATATTTCATCTGGTACTAGCTGAAGCATAGCTGGAGCAATAAATGGCAACGCGCACCAGACTAGCAGGTGCGATCATGCGTTTTGTGCAATTCAGCCCATCGAACGATTGCCGTAATGATTTTTACTTCCTTGTACTTTAGTCTATGCAAAAATAGTTCAAACATTGAAAAACAGTTAAGAAAATGATTTTCACTGCTTTGTACTTTAGTCTATGCAAAAATAGTTCAAACATTGAAAAACAGTTAAAGATTTCACTTCCTTGTACTTTAGTCTATGCAAAAATAGTTCAAACATTGAAAAACAGTTAAAAACTTTTCACTGCTTTGTACTTTAGTCTATGCAAAAATAGTTCAAACATTGAAAAATAGTTAAAAATTTCATGCACCAGTTCACTGCTTTGTGCTTTAGTCTATGCAAAAATAGTTCAAACATTGGAAAACAGTTAAAAATTTCAACAGACTAGCCGGTGCGATAATGCGTTTTGTGCAATTCGGCCCATCGAACGATTGCCTATTAATGATTTTCATGCTTTGTACTTTAGTCTATGCAAAAATAGTTCAAACATTGGAAAATAGTTAAAAATTTCACACACCAGTGCTTTGTTCTTTAGTCTATGCAAAAATAGTTCAAACATTGGAAAACAGTTAAAAATTTCACGCACTCTTGTACCTTGTCTATGCAAAAATAGTTCAAACATTGGAAAACAGTTAAAAATTTCACGCACCAGCGTATGAAAGCTAAATAGCAAAAATAGTTCAAACATTGGAAAACAGTTAAAAATTTCACGCACCAGCGTATGAAAGCTGAATTTGAAACCTTGAAGGATAATATCTTTCCGCGATTTCCGAGTTAATAGTTTACCCGCCAAAATTTTCACGAGGCCGTAGGTGGTAACCGAGAGCGCGAGAGCGCTGAATTTGAATGGGCAAGATTGCGCATGGGCAAGGGGTCATTAGTCTTAAATTTCAGCCCCCTATACTCGGTGA